ACTATACATGCTCTCCGCCAATCCTTAGGTACCTTCCCCTCTTTCATACATTTATCAAACAAAAGTACCAACCACTCCAACACTATATCCCCCCCTGCTTTTAACATTTCTGTCATGATCCCATCAGTTCCAGTTGCTTTACCCCCTTTCATTTTACGTAATGCCTCACGTACCTCCCCCACACTTACATTCTGCTCTTCTTCACTCCTAAAAGATGGTATACCTCCCTGACCAGTGCATGAAATTACTGCCACTCTTTCTTCCTTAACATTTAAAAGTTCCTCAAAATATTCTCGCCATCTACCTAATACCTCCATCTCCCCATCTACTAACTCCCCTACTCTGTTTTTAACTGACAAATCCATACTTTCCCTAGGCTTTCTTAACTTGTTTAACTCACTCCAAAATTTTTTCTTATTTTCATTAAAATTCCTTGACAGTGCCTCTCCCACTCTATCATCTGCTCTCCTTTTGCACTCTCTCACCACTCTCTTTACCTTTCTTTTACTCTCCATATACTCTGCTCTTCTTATAACACTTCTGCTTTGTAAAAACCTCTCAAAGCTATCCTTTTCTCTTTTATCACACCCTTTACTTCATCATTCCACCAATCACTCGTCTTTCTCCTGACCCCACCCTCCTATAACCACAAACTTCTGCCCCACATTCTAATACTGCATTTTTAAACTATTCCAACCCTCTTCAACCCCCCCACTACTCATCTTTGCACTAGCCCAAACCTTTCTGCCAATAGTCGCTTATATCTCACCCGAACTTCCTCCTCCCTTAGCTTATACACTTTCACCTCCCTCTTACTTGTTGCCACCTTCCCCTTTTCCCCTCTACCTCTTACTCTAACTGTAGCTACAACTAAATAATGATCCGATATATCAGTTGCCCCTCTATAAACATGTACATCCTGGAGCCTACCCATCAACCTTTTATCCACCAATACATAATCTAATAAACTACTTTCATTACGTGCTACATCATACCTTGTATATTTATTTATCCTCTTTTTCATAAAATTGTATTACTTATTACCAAATCTCTTTCTACACAAAAGCTCAATTAAAGGCTCCCCATTTACATTTACCCTGGCACCCCAAATTTACCTACTACTCCCTGCATAACATTTTTTTCCCACTTTAGCATTGAAATCCCCAACCACCATTACTCTCACACTTGATTCAAAACTCCCCACGCATTCACTCAACATTTCCGAAAATCTCTCTCTCTCCTCTACACTTCTCTCTTCTCCAGGTGCATACACGCTTATTATAACCCACTTTTCACATCCAATCTTTATTTTACTCCACATAATCCCCGAATTAATACATTTATAGTCCCTCTTTTCCTGCCATAGCTTATCCTTCAACATTATTGCTACTCCTTCTTTAGCTCTAGCTCTATTTGAAACCCCTGACCTAATCCCATTTATTCCTCTCCACTGAAACTCTCCCACCCCCTTCAGCTTTGTTTCACTTAAAGCCAGGACATCCAGCTTCTTCTCATTCATAACATCCACAATCATCTCTTTCTTATCATCTGCACAACATCCACGCACATTCAGACTTCCCACTTTGACAATTTTCTTCTTCTCATTCTTTTCAGTAATCTTTACAGGAAAAGGGGTTACTAGCCCATTGTTCCCGGCATTTTAGTTGACTTTTACAACACGCATGGCTTACGGAGGAAAGATTCTTATTCCACTTCCCCATGGATATAAAAGGAAAAGTAATAAGACCAAGAACTATTAAGATAAAATCAAAGAAAACTCAGATGAGTGTGTATAAATAAACGTGTACATGTATGCGTAGTTTGACCTAAGTGTAAGTAGAAGTAGCAAGACATGCCTGTAATCTTGCATATTTATGAGACAGACAAAAGACACCAGCAATCCTACCATCATGTAAAAAATCACAGGCTTTCGTTTTACACTCACTTGGCAGGACGGTAGTACCTCCCTGGGTGGTTGCTGTCTACCAACCTACTACCTTTAAATAATTGCACCAACCACTCTAAAACTATATCCCCACCTGCTTTTAACATTTCTGTCTTTATCCCATCAATCCCAGCTGCCTTACCCCCTTTCATTTTACCTATTGCCTCACAAACTTCCCCCACACTCACAACTGGCTCTTCCTCACTTCTACATGATGTTATTCCTCCTTGCCCTATACACGAAATCACAGCTTCCCTTTCTTCATCAACATTTAACAATTCCTCAAAACATTCCATCTTTCCAATACCTCTAACTCTCCATTTAATAACTCTCCTCTCCTATTTTTAGCTGACAAATCCATTTGTTCTCTAGGTTTCCTTAACTTGTTAATCTCACTCCAAAACTTTTTCTTATTTTCAACAAAATTTGTTGATAACATCTCACCCACTCTCTCATTTGCTCTCTTTTTACATTGCTTCACCACTCTCTTAACCTCTCTCTTTTTCTCCATATACTCTTCCCTCCTTGCATCACTTCTACTTTGTAAAAACTTCTCATATGCTAACTTTTTCTCCCTTACTACTCTCTTTACATCATCATTCCACCAATCGCTCCTCTTCCCTCCCGCACCCACTTTCCTGTAACCACAAACTTCTGCTGAACACTCTAGCACTACATTTTTAAACCTACCCCATACCTCTTCGACCCCATTTCCTATGCTCTCATTAGCCCATCTATCCTCCAACAGCTGTTTATATCTTACCCTAACTGCCTCCTCTTTTAGTTTATAAACCTTCACCTCTCTCTTCCCTGATGCTTCTATTCTCCTTGTATCCCATCTACCTTTTACACCATCTACCTTTTACACCAGAAATTAAGTTACACATTCAAATTAACAATTTTCTTCTTCTTATTCTTTTTAGTAATTATTACAGGAAATGGGGTTACTAGCCCATTGTTCCCGGCATTTTAGTTGACTTTTACAACATGCCTGGCTTAAGGAGGAAAGATTCTTATTTCACTTCCCCATGCATATAAAAGGAAAAGTAATGAGACCAAGAACTATTAAGATAAAATCAAAGAAAACTCAGATGAGTGTGTATAAACAAACATGTACATGTATGTGTAGTGTGACTTAAGTGTAAGTAGAAGTAGCAAGACGTACCTGTAATCTTGCATATTTATGAGACAGACAAAAGACACCAGCAATCCTACCATCACGTTAAACAATTACAGGCTTTCGTTTCACACTCACTTGGCAGGACGGTAGTACCCCCCTGGGTGGTTGCTGTCTAAAGAAAAATTGCAAAGGTTAGTGCATGAGTTTGGGAGTGTGTGTAAAGGTAGAAAGTTGAAAGTGAACATAGAAAAGAGTAAGGTGATGAGGGTATCAAATGATTTAGATAAAGAAAAATTGGATATCAAATTGGGCAGGAGGAGTATGGAAGAAGTGAATGTTTTCAGATACTTGGGAGTTGATGTGTTGGCGGATGGATTTATGAAGGATGAGGTTAATCATAGAATTGATGAGGGAAAAAAGGTGAGTGGTGCATTGAGGTATGTGTGGAGACAAAAAAACGTTATCTATGGAGGCAAAGAAGGGAATGTATGAAAGTATAGCAGTACCAACACTCTTATATGGGTTTGAAGCTTGGGTTGTGAATGCAGCAGCAAGGAGGCGGTTGGAGGCAGTGGAGATGCCCTGTCTAAGGGCAATATGTGGTGTAAATATTATGCAGAAAATTCGGAGTATGGAAATTAGGAGAAGGTGTGGAGTTAATAAAGTATTAGTCAGAGGGCTGAAGAGGGGTTGTTGAGGTGGTTTGGTCATTTAGAGAGAATGGATCAAAGTAGAATGACATGGAGAGCGTATAAATCTGTAGGGGATGGAAGGCGGGGTAGGGGTCGTCCTCGAAAAGATTGGAAGGAAGGGGTAAGGGAGGTTTTGTGGGAGAGGGGCTTGGAATTCCAGCAGGCGTGCATGAGCGTGCTCGATAGGGATGAATGGAGACGTATGGTATTTGGGATCTGACGACTGTTGGAGTGTGAGCAAGGTAATATTTAGTGAAGGGATTCAGCGAAACCGGTTATTTTCATATAGCCAGACTTGAGTCCTGGAAATGGGAAGTACAATGCCTGCACTCTAAAGGAGGGGTTCAGGATATTAGCAGTTTGGAGGGATATGTTGTGTATCTTTATACATATATGCTTCTAAACTGTTGTGTTCTGAGCACCTCTGCAAAAAACAGTGATTATGTGTGAGTGAGGTGAAAGTGTTGAATGATGATGAAAGTATTTTATTTTTGTCGATTTTGTTTCTTTTTGGGTCACCCTGCCTCGGTGGGAGACGGCAGACTTGTTAAAAAAAAAAAAAATCAAATTAACAACCTTTTATTCAGAGGGAACAATAAACCTGTAGGGGTTGCTTAGCACTTGGAAGAATGGAGGCGATAGATTTAATCCACTTTCTTGGATAACATAAACAATCCCGAGAGGAATTAGAAAACATTTAACCAATTTTAGTGGGTACGATGGACTCGATACAGGGTTCAAATATAGATATGACACAGTACTTCATGCTCGTCTGTCCAGAGTTAAAAGGCAGGTTTAGGCAAGTAAGTTACTTAGGAAACTGAATATAGATAATAAACATTATTACTCTAATTAGTCTCAGGGTCCTATCTCCTACCAAAACAACTCTGTTACTGGTTTCAGTGTACAGGAATTACAAATAAAACTCTCAAGGCTTTTTTCATTTGATGTACCATACATGATGCAAAACATTAAGTCGTAAGTCGATAGTACCAGTTTGACGTCAATAACACCAACGAACAATTCACATTAAAAGAACAGCGAACACATCATAGAATATACATACATAACAGCATCAACAAATTCTGTCTTGTTTCAGCTTGAGATCTGAAAATCCCCTGTACTGTACATTATAGGTAAAGTTATTTAAATAGTGACAACCAAGTTTGTGAAGGATTCACTGCATTTACACTACTACCAATACTTTCAATATAACCTTACTGTTACTCCTAAGAATACTTACTTTCTTTTTACTTTTTTTGCTTGAAGGGGTATTTGTAGCATTTGCAGTGCCATTCTCTGTAGGAGGAGATCCGTCCTCCAGCATTGGAGCACCTCGGTTTTCTTCTTCCTTCACCTCCTGAATAATAGCCTTGATGCTTTCCAGTTGCGACTGAGAGGAGACTGCATCACGGCGTAGTTTGGCAGCTACCACTCCAAGGCAGTCCAGTGACGATACCCGTAGGGCCATATCAGAGTTTTTGTTACTAAATTTTTGTACTAAAAGCTTGCCCAGAAGTGACAAGAGAAGTTCAGAGGCAGGCCATTCGGGTTTGTTCACTGTTGCAAGAAGATCCTGCACAAAATTTTCAAACAATGGTCTATAATCAATTTCCTCACTTTTACTGCCAGTTTTCTGAAGGAACACAGATAAGAAACTATATGCTGTACTCATGGCAGTTTCATAGCGGTTACACACTAATACGTCTCTGTCCATGCTTAACTCTTTCTTTTCCTCCACAACTTTGGCCTCTTTAGAATCTTTGGAATTTTGACTATCACCTTCACTAGCACTTTTAACACCAGCAGCTTGTGCCAACTGCTCCGGAAGTTCAACAACACACTGTATTAACTGTAACACTAAGGCCGTTAACATCTGAATATTTTCATCAGAGTTTAATCTGTAAGTTCTCAAACTCCTCTTACTATTAGGTAAACGTGCTATAGAAGCTAAAATATCGTCCAGTAATAATCTACGGTGTTTGTTGTACTTGGAGAACACCTGAAATTAAATTTTGTTAATTATTTTACACATGACATTTTCTACATAATTTTCATTAAACATATGAACTACTGGGAGTACCTAGAATCATTTTAAATGTACCTATGTCAATACATGAGCAAGTGATATGCAATAATATATTACCTCCTACCTGTTCCCCATTTTTATGGAATAAGGAGGCACCCAACAGAAAAGTAGGAAAAGTAAGCTTCTTATACTGCCTTTCATATTTTGTAGAATCATAGGAAAACTAATGCAGCTATTAAGTGTTTCAGCATTACAGAGATAATGGAAAAATTTAAGTCAGTTATTCCAAGTATTTTCAGGAGCTGATAATGTATCAACAATTAATTTTTTTTATCTCACAGGCTATGTTCTGCCAAGGCAGGGTGACCCAATGAAGAGAACGCATTCACCATCATTCATTCAATCCATATCTTTCTAGAGGTGTGCTGATATCACAATTCAGATTACCCTCTGACTGTAACATTCCCACACCTAATTCAGTGTATAGGTGCTGCCCTTTATACCTCCAGGTCACAAGTCTGGTTAACCAGACTACAAGACAGAAAATGAAAAAGCAATACCATGACTAGAACAATACACAAATAACATGTATGAAGACAACTGAAACTCATGATGACATTTTAGGAAGGAAGTCAGATAATACACAAGATGAGGGTAGGGAATGGGAAGTGTAGAACAGGAGGGAGTAGTAATACTGTAGTGCAACAGTAGTAGTAGTAGTAGTAGTGGCGGTGGTGGCAGCGGCGGCGGTGGAAGAGTAGGAGTAGGTGGTGGCGGGTGTTTGGCGGCGCCCGGCGGTGATGGGGTGGCACGGTACAGGAAAAGGGCAAAAGGGGTGGAAATGGGAAAAAACATAGAAAAAGATAAAAGGGTTAAAAAGAAGGATAAAGATCAAGTCAAGTTAAGAGGGCCCTGAATTTTTGGAGACAGCAAAACCTCCATATCCCCGAATCAGTAGCCACAATTTTCATTATCCACATTTTTACGGGGGCCCCAAGGGAAACCTTTCTTTTTTTAATAATAAGGGCCCCAAAAAGGAAAAAGTGGGAGTAACCCTTTCCTTCAAAGCCTAAAAAGAAACCATGAAGTACCCCCCATCATTTGAAATGAAAAAACTCCACTTATTTTTCACAATTTATCAATTAAACTTTATAACAGTGAAAAATTTTTGGTTTTGTGGTGAAAGTGTTAAAAGAGATCAAGCATTTTTTTTTTGGGATTTTCCCTTTTTTTTTTTGGGGTCCCCCTTTGCCTCGGGGGGAAAAGACGGCCGACTTTTTAAAAAAAAAAAAAATTTTACAGACTCATATATAGGGTTTGCCAAACTACCCATGGTTTTACAACCCACAGTAGAACAAAGATTCAAATTAGAAATGCCGTTTTTAAAAGGGATGCTGTTGAACAAGTTTGGTGTCGGGTGAAGGCTAGAAGGAGACATTTTTGGGCAGGGGAAAAAAAAGGCTAATAGGATGACTGTCACATGATACAAAAGAGCATTGTTATGTCAATGATAACACCCCTTTTTGGTCAAAAGTTCGTCAGAAAGTGATGGGCCGTTCCTCTAAAGTATCAAAAGGGGCCCACAAAGGGAAACGGGAAATGAGGTAAACCTCTGGAAGCACAAAAAAAAACACGGGAGTGAGATCCCAAACCAAGATTATTTTACACTAGTTAAGGGTCCAAGTTTATACCTAAATTTGTAAAAAAAAGTTTCAGCCCTCCAAAGGCCCAAGTTTTTGTGTAGAGAGAAATTTGTATTATTTTTTGCAAACCTCAAAATAACCATCTTAAAAATTGGGAAAGATTTTTTTTTCCATGAGGGGGCCCTTTTCGATCAAAGAAGAGACGAGGGTTTTTTGGGACTCGGGCCCATGCTGTTATTTTGTGAGAAAGGTAAAAATGATAAACTGATTCAAGTAAAAAAATACTGGAGGCAGAAATACAGTGCCGCTTTTTGGGAAGTCTGTATCACAAAGAAGTTCAAGAAGATTTTAAATTTTGGTGATATTCATGCACCTCTGACAAAAACACTTTTGAATAGTATTTTTTTTTTAGTTCCCCCAAATTTCCCTGGCGGGAAAAGGGGACAAATGGTAAAAAAAAAAAAATAAGTTTAAAGGAGTTCCAAAAATTTTAGGGGAAAAAATTATTTATAAAAGTGGGCCGCCAGATTTTTTAAAAAAAATCCAAGAACATTTTACCCCAAAAGTGGCAGATTTTTGCAAGTGAAAGGGTAGGGGGTAGGTTACTGAAAGCAGTGAAGATTTTTTTTTACGGGGATAGTGGGGGCTCAATTTGGATTATTTTGGGAAAGGGGGAAATTTTTTTTTTCCCCCAGTAAAAGTAGGCCTTTAAGACAAGATGGGGGATGTCACCGTGGTTGTTAAAATATATTTTTTAAGGGGGTTGTAAGAAAAGTAAAGGGCGGGGGTCTGCAAGGGGCGTGGATTTAAAAAGAAAAGAATCACAAAACAAAGTGGGAGTTGTCACAGCTGCTTTTTGCCGATGAAAAACTGTCCCCTTTTGGGGAATTCTAAGAAATTCCCCAGAGATTGGGGAATAAATTTTGGGGAAGGGGTGGCAAAAGAAAAAAATTTAAAAGGGGGAATACAGGAAAAAAAAAAAGGTTTTGGGGGAAATAACAAAAAGATTATTTTATGAAAAAATTGGGGAATATCGTTTGGGAGGAGAGAGTATGGAGGAGGGGGAACGTATTCAAATTTGGGAGTGGACTGTCAGGGGATGGGCTTTTAAAAGATAGGTGAACCAAAAATTGATGGGGGAAAAAGATTTGGTTTTGGGGGCACGGGAGTCTGGGGAACAAAAAAAATTTTTGCCCTTGGGGAGGCAAAGGGGGGAAATGTAAAAGTATAGTTTTTAAACCAACGCTTTTAATAGGGGGTTAACCCGTGGGTGTTTAAGGTTAAGCGGGGAAAGGGCGGGGCAGTAGATGCCAAAGTTTTGGGGGGCAATGTGTGGTGTGAATATAATGCAGAAAATTTCCCCCGTATTTTGGAATTTAGGGGGGAGGTGCGGGATTACCAAAACTGTTGTCCAGAGGGCGGGAAGGGTTTTTTTGAGGTGGTTGGGAAAAGTAGAGAGAAAGGAGCAAAAACAGAATGACTTCAAAAAGTGTATCAGTCTGTAGGGGAAAAGGAAGGCGGGAAAGGGGCCCGGCCTGGGAAGGGGGGGGAAAGGGGGGGGGAAAAGGGGAGGTTTTGGGTGCGGGGGGCTTGGACTTCCAGCAGGCATCCCGTAAAGCGTGTTTAAATAGGAGTAAATGGAGAAAAAAGGGTTTTTAAAAATATTTTTGACGTCTTTTTGGAGTGTGAGCAAATTTAACTTTTTTAAAAAGGGGTTTCGGGGAAACCGGCAGGCCGGATTTGGGGTTTCCCTGGAATGGGAAGTCCCGTGCCGGGCCCTCTAAAGGGGGGGGTTTTTAATGTTCATTTTTAAAAAACTTTATGAAAGCACCCTTCGGGCAAAAACAGTGAGGGAGTGAATGAGGGGGAAATTTTTTTTTTTTGGGGCCACCCCTCCCTTGGGGGGAAAGGGCCCGGTGTGGATAAAAAAAAAAAAAAAAAAAATAAGAAAACAACAAAAGCTTTTTAAAAAACTGGGGATATTAGAAATGTAAAAAAGCCCCAAAAACCTTTTCCCTTTCTTTTTTAAAATAAAAATTTAAAAAGCTTAAGTTTTTTTTAAATAATTTACCCCGAAAAAACGACCCAAAAATGAAATATACTTTTCTTACCGCTACCCCCCCAAAACGCAAATCCCAGTTTATTTTTCCTGCCTCCAAATTTGCACGAATGGCCTGAGATGCCGGGGCAACCAAAAAAAGGGGTCTTAACACTCGGGGGTGAAACTATTTTAAAAAAAAATCTGGGACCACTTATTTTTTTCTTTGTGGGAGCGCCAGTTAACTGACGCCCTAGAAAAACCCAGTGGGCAAACCCCAATTTTTTCCCACTAAATTTTAATTTTTATTTTAAACCACTCCCCTTTTTAAAAGGGAAAATGATTTTTAACCCCCCAATTTTTAGGGTCTTCTGTCTGCCCTATTTTTTGTCTGTCTGTATCTGTGCTGTCTCGCAGGGCACACAAATACAATTATACAAAAGTGAAAATTACCTGGGAAAACCCCAAAAAAAATCCTAATCAAAAATTTTTTTTGGGCTTTTAGATATAAGGGCATAAGAATACCTTTTGGGTTCACGGGGCTCTCTCTGAACAGACAGAGAGCAACAGGGGAGACAGAAAGAGACATCCGACAGAGAAAAAAAGACAACAGAAAACCCAGAGATAGAGCTCATCAAAGGGTTTTCCCTTATCTCTGCACCCCCCGTTTGGTGCCCATCAAATGCATCTCATATCGAATTTAAACCTGCCCCCCCCATGCTTGTCACTGAACATTTTGCCCTTACACTTTTGTTTTAAAGGGGAAAATTTCTTCCTCCTTCTTCTAAAACTCCCGTTTATCCAAAACTTTGCCTGTGATCTAAAAATATTTTTGCATATATTCCTAGACAATAGTAAATGCCCCAAGGCAGGTGTAAATGCCCCTCCCTGTCAATGGGGTTTTGTGACAATTTAATAAAATTTCGTACCTAAGATTAGTGTCAGAACAAAGATTTTTTTATGAAAATGACAAGAAAGCAAAAAATTGTAATTATCAAAACAAAAATTATATAAAATTTTAAAAAATAAGAAAAAAATGGTAATCACAACACTTCGCAAGGGGCAGCACTTAAAAGTTCCCATCAGGTGACCTTTAAGTCCCAACTGGGGCACCTCAAATCTCAATAATTTACTGACCAAAAAATTTTTATTTTTTTTTAATCCTAGTTGTAGCTACATTTAAAGAGAAAGGGTAGAAGGATAAGGGGAAAAAAGGGCAAAAAAGTAAGAGGGGGGTTTAAATTGTATAAAGTTAAAACCCTAAGGGAGGGGGAAATTTTCGGGTAAAATAT